CTTATTAGGGGACTACTGGTTAGTTACCTTGTAAATGAAGAGGAACTAATCAAGAACTAATGAGTAGTTACCAAGGAAACCAAACAGGAACAAATCAGGAGCTAATGGGTAGTTAACTAGTACTTACTGGGGAACACACAGACAAGCCTTATTAAGGGACTACTGGTTTGTTAACACAGGAACAAACCAGTAGGTAATGGTTAGGTAGTGATTAAGTAATGATTGTTTCCTCAGTAAGTACAGCCAGGCAATGATTTGGTTCTCAGTAAGTGATAGTCAGACATAGTTAAGATGATAGCAGTACAAGATTATGAAATTGATCATGTCTTTCATCAATAGGTTTACAAAAGAGAAAATCCAATAAAATCAGTAATCACTAGGAAACAGGTTTTTGACAAGCTGTGACCTCACTGGTGCAAGTTGTTTTTTTTTTTCAGAACCCACATGGAGAATTTCTCCTCTATTTCTGTGGTAACCAACCAGTAGTCCCCTAATAAGGCTTGGCTGTGTGTTCCCCAGTAAGTACTGGTTAACTACCCATTAGCTCCTGATTCGTTCCTCTTTGGTTTCCTTGGTAACTACTCATTAGTTCTTGATTAGTTCCTCTTCATTTGCAAGGTAACTAACCAGTAGTCCCCTAATAAGACTTGGCTGTGTATTCTCTAGTAAGTACTGGTTAACTACCCATTAGCTCCTGATTTGTTCCTGATTCATTCCTTAGGTGTCCCCTAGTAGTTAAGCAAATTTTGTATACCTTATTGTAAAGTGTTACCAAAATATTTAATATAAACAGCTTTAACTGAATCAGTGTTACAGATATTGTGGTAGTAGCTGACCATCATACCCAAAACATGGTATGACAGCAGCACATTGCGCAACTTTAACAATAAATGTTGGAGTCTTTATGTCTGTTAGCATAATATCCTATAAACCACTAAATGTCTTTAATGGAACTGTCAGACAGTGATTATTTTATGTTAATCTATGATTCAACAACTTTCAAAGTCAGCTCAAGATGGCTGCCAAGGCTAATAGACTAGCCTACACAGATGCAGCGGAACCTCAGTGGGTTTGTCACGTGTTAAGGTCAAATCTGATAGAAGGTTCACAACGCACTCAAACTTCTGACAGATACGCAGAACTTAACAGGATATGAGATTGTGCATGGGGAATATTATGAATAGTTAATATCTAACTTGTAGTAGATAGCTCATTGAACAACCTCGAATTGTAGAAATAGTTTTATTTGACGTGTACAAACAAGTCCAGTGTAAAATCCTGCTCCAACCAGCTGCTGGCTACTCCACATTATCTAAACTGAGATTTATCTGACTGCTGTCTGCTGCAGGTGAGATACTGACCAAGTATAAGGTATCGGCAAAACCCCACATTGTAAAATACACACAAATCAGACAGCCATCTATCCTCTCACTCACACCTAATGATAAAATTAGAATGACCAGTTACATTATTAAACCAGCATATTATTTATATACGTATTTGTGTATTTTTCCACTTTATTAGACATATTTGGACTGATGCAACTTATATGGCGGTGCAACGTGTACAGCGGAAAATACGGTATATGTTATACTGTATCTATAACGACAACTATTAATGAAATAAATACCATGGTACATCATTTGGCTTTCACTGTACTGGATTTTTGCCAATTAGCACATTTTTCACTCGTAGTCACAAAATGATGGTGAACATGAAACACCCTTTAGCGTCTTTAACATTTTCTGGTAACGGGTTCTCTCGTGCACGTTTCCACTTCAGTGTGCTGTGAGGAGGCCAGCCTTTAGTCTACCGCAGCTGCCTGTGACCCTTCCGTCCACCTTCTGTCCTGTAATCACAGCTTCATGCCTCTATAGAAACAAACAGAAACGGGACGCCGCGGTTTTGTGCACATTGCTAGCCGGCCTGTGTTCTCCGAGCTGCTCCGTGTTGTCGCAGCGTTCAGGTAGCAGCCATGAAAGGCTCAGTCCGCTGCAGCCGCTCGGCTCTCCTCATTTTTTTAACAACACAAAAGCTGCACCTGCTCAAAGCTTTGTCACCTGCAATCAGTCACTGAGTGCTCTCGTCTGTAAAGTGTGCGGGCTCTTTGTCTCCATTTGCTTTTATTTGTATCTCTGAACTGGCAGCATTCCTGATCAGAGCTCACTATTAATGTTGTTGTGTTCTATTTATTTGAATTTTATTTATATTCACCATGAACTGATTCAGTTTCCTCCTCAAATGGACCACGCTCACATCTGTGTTCCACCCACATCTGATCCATTTGGACCTTTTCTGTTAGATATATATATTTTTTTTATCTGATAAGACATGAGTGGCCATGGCCCTGTCTACACAAAACATGCTTTATTGTAATTTTAAATAAAGTTTGTTGATTTTTGTGCATCGGTGATGCTCCTGGACAAAAGTGAACAATCAGTAGAAATAAATGTTTGAAGTCAGGTATCATGTGTGCCCCCCCCCCCACCACCACCACCACCACCACACACACACATAGGTTTGTCTTTCTATTTTTTACATTAACTTCCATTCATTTTTCATTCATTTCTATAGCTCAACCCTAAAACTAACCATTACAAGGTCAAGGTTCTTTATTGTCATTTACATCACAAGTGGTACATGTGGTGGAACAAAATTGTGTACTTAGGGTCCCAGTTACATCCAACAAAAGTATAAATTGTAAAGAAAAACATTAATAAGATCTAAGATGTGAACTAAGAAATACACTAAACACTTAATAGTGCAAAAATAATACGCCAAACAACAGCAGCACGAACATGAGTCTGTGTGAACAGTTGAGAATGAATGAACACAGCAGCATGAAATAAATCAGCAGCATGAGATCAGCAGCACATATCAGCAATCAAGTGGCATTACAGTGATTTTTTTTTAACAGTGATTATCCTGGTTAGAGATTCAAGAGTCTAACATTTTTTTTATTTTTTTTTTCATTTAGCCTTTATTTATCCAGGTTAGTCTCATTGAGCCACGAGAACTCATTTTCAAGAGAGACCTGTTTAGGGAGCACATGGTGGGGGTTAAGGGCCTTGCTTATGGGCCCAGAGTGGGGCGAATGAGGGTGGGGACAAGTGTGGGTGTTTCACCTACCCCACCCACAATTTTGATGTTGTCGGGGCCGGGGCGTGAACCGGCGATCTTCGGATCACAGGCCCACCTCTCTAACCTCTGCGCCACCGCTCCCCCTAACAGCTTCAGGGTAGAAGCTGTTCCTCAGTCTAGTGGTTCTACACTTAATGCTCCTTAACCTTCTTTCCTGAGGGGAGCGGGGCAAAAGGTGTGTGCGCACATCTTAGTCCTGAACCTAATCCCTAACCCACCAATGGCACTTGCTCCTATTGAGTTTGTCGATTCTTACAAATACTTGGGTATTTTGGTCGATTTGCATCTCTCCTTTAAGCCTCATGTTGAAAACTTGGTAAGGAAACTGAAAGTTAAATTGGGATTCTTTATCAGAAATGTGTCCTGTTTAACTCTGAATGCTAGGAAACACCTTGTAACTGCTACATTCATTCCCTCCATTGACTACGCTGACATTATTTACATGAACGCTCCTACAAGCACCCTGCAGATGTTGGACGCTGTCTATCATGGTGCATTAAGATTCATAACTGGCTGTAAATATCGTACCCACCACTGCACCCTGTATTCACTGGTTAACTGGTCATCATTAACTTCACGTAGACTCTATCACTGGTACATTTTCATCTTTAAATCACTTCTTGGTCTGCTGCCTTCATACATCTCCTCCTACATGTCTCTGCATGAGTGCAGCTACAGCGTGCGCTCTCAGGACATTATTACCTGCAGTGTTCCCCCAGTGCAGACTGAACTAGGCAAAAGGGCCTTTTACTCCGCTCCTGTTTCCTGGAATATCTTGCAAAAAGATCTGAAGCTTTCAACCTTGATCTCTAAGTGGCTTCAAACATCTGCTAAGTTCCTGTCAAAAACCAATGCAGACATGTTCCTGCTTTTGGTTTTCTACATTGTTTTATAATGTAGCTGTTTATGTTTTGTTGTTTTTTTTAAATATATATAATTTTTTTCCATTTAATTTTCACTTGATATGCTTATTTATTATTGTCTGTTGTTGTCTGTACCTCATCTGTGTTCTTTGTTTAAATCAGGTCTCTCTTGTAAATGAGTCCCCAAGGCTCACTGAAACTAACCTGTATAAATAAAGGTTGAATTTAATTTAATTCTTATGGGTCCTCGTCTTTGGGCCCCATAAGAGCAGTTGGTCCTCACAATGTCGTATGTGTTGGAAAAATGGGATTTACAAGGTAAAAAAAAAAAAAAACGAAGACACACACACAAACAGTATGGTTTTTTTTTTTATCTTTATAGGGATGTCACATTGACTTCCATTTGTTTTTCAATAATTTATTTAGCCTACCGTTGAACCCTACCCTAAACATAACCCCTAACCCCCAAACTGCATTTGAACATATAAGGGCCAAGCTTTGGTCCCCATAAGGAGCAGTGGGTCCTCACAAGTATTGGAAACATGGTCCTAACAAGGTAACAAAAACTAACACACACACCTCACGCTCTTTTTCAGCTTCCATCTTATAACAACCTCATACACAAATCCTTTTCCCAAATAAACCGTTCCCTAACAGAATCCTCCTCAATAAAATATTTCCTTAACAGAATATTTTCCCCAAGGAACGTTTCCCCTAACACAATCGTTCTCCAGAGGTAACAAAGCCAAAACCAAACCAAAAAACAGGTTTCATCTCTACAACAACTTGTTTGGGCTCACATCAGTGAAGGCTTCAGGATGAAAACAATTTATTAAATGATAAACCACATCTACATAGTGATTACATATGTATTTATTATGAACTTGTTAGGTGGAGGTCATTTTTCACCAGGAGAATCTAGTTAACAAACAGTGAACAAATCATTAATTATACTCTCAGATATTAGAAAAAGGTATAAAAAAATAAAACAAGTACCTTCTTTGGCAGCCAGACGTGGGGAGGGGTCTGTGTGGGATGGTGTGTTGTAGGATAACGATGAGCTACCTGGAACGAAACAAAGAAATAGAGTGAGATCTTTGAATAAATAGAAGGTGCATGAAAGCCTGAGAAAGACTCCATATATTTTGCCTTGTTTTATATAGCATCTTGATTTAATCGTGTTCATAACTTCTTTTATTAGATTTTAATTGTTTTTTGTTAAATTATTGTTGTGTGTACTTGTTATCTGTCAAAAACAGATCTCTCTTGAAAAGGCAGCTCAAGCATGCTAGTCTGGACTCCTACAGGTGTGCAGTGGAGAGCATCATGTGCTCCAGCATCAACGTGTGGCATGGAGGCTGCACAGCTGCAGAAAGAAAAGCTTTGCAGAGAGTGGTGAAGGCTGCACAGAAGTCTGTCGGAGTCAGTCTCCCCACCATCACATACATCTACACCTCCAGATGCAGGAAGAGGGCCACCTGAATCATGAAGGACCCCACTCACCCAGCACACACACTTTTTGCCCTGCTCCTCTCAGGAAGGAGGTTGAGGAGCGTTAAGTGTAGAACCTAGACCATGGGTCTGCAATCTGCGGCTCTGGAGCCACATGCAGCTCTTTGGTCCCTCTGCAGCTTTTTCAAGCTTTGACCAAAACTAACATAAAACTGAATTTTATTGGTTGTCTTACAAACAACAAGAACAAAAGACTAGTTTTAGCAGTTTTCTTGTCATTTCTTTTGCAAATATGTGAATTCTGAAACTAGTACAAAGATTAAAACATAATATCTTTATGCTTTTTTTCTCTACTAAATTCATTTTTCCACAATTAACAAAATTACATAGGTCTGTATAGTATAGTAACACCCCCCACCCCCCCACCCCCGCCCCCAAACACACAAACACACACATAAATCTGGTCTTTTCAGTTGTCTTAATTTAAATGATGTTAATAACTGAAAATACGTAATGATTTTTAACATTTATTGATATTTTTATGACACTACTACTGGGAACAAAAGCCACCTCCAACAAGCCTAAAGTGGCCCATGGGCCACCAGTTGATAATCACAGTTAGCAGGTTGTTGCCGCTCTGAACACTTTTAATTTAGTGAACGAAGGTGTAAAAATGGCTCTTTTGATCGTAAAGGTTGAAGACCCCTGCACTGGACTGAGCAACAGCTTCTACCCTGAAGCTGTTAAGACTCGTGAATCCCTACCAGGATAATCACTGTAATGTCACTTTAACTGGTGATTTGTCACTTTGTGCTGCTGATTATCCATGGTGCTGATTTCATACCCATAAGCTGCTATATTCTCACCCATCTGCTCACAACAGACTCATGTTCAGGCTGCTGTTCAATGCACCATATTATATTATATTCATTCAACCTTTATTTATACAGGTTAATCCCATTGAGCCTCGAGGACTCATTTACAAAAGAGACCTGGATATATTATATAATGATAATGATAATAATAATATAACAATAATATGTTATATTATTATTGTTTAGCGTATATATATTAGATCCTTGTATGCTGTTTCTTTTTTATACTTTATATTTTTGCTATTTTGGGTTAGGGTTAGGGTAGGGTACAAACAGATACCTTGGGTACACAATTTAATTTCATTTAAAGAACCTTGAGCCTTGTAAATGAGTCATTGTGAATCAATAAGACTAACCTGTATAATTAAAAGTTGAATGAATGAATGAATTTAAGCCTCAGTAATTATTTTAACCAATCAAATTCATCATTATTATCTTCCTTTAAACGTTTGTTGAACATATGAGATCTTGCAGCGTTTGGCTATTCTTCAGAACAAGCATGTAGGAGTTAAATGTTAGGGCTCCTGGCCTCTGCAGTGACCAGCAGGGGGCAGCAGACTGTTCAGCTTCTTCAGCTGCAAACTAAAAGTTTTCACTTTCTGACTTGTTTTTCTGTACATCCTTATTGAAATAATGATGACACCAAACACAAAGGTTTGTGTCACGTATTGTTAGCTACAAAATAAAATCAAACATAGCCCAAAGCCCGACTTTAAAACTAAAGGCAAAACTGGAGGGTTTTCAGAGCAGGCGCTGCTCCCGGGAGGCCAGAGTCATATTCTCTTCACCTTATGGAGAGGAGGACTCTGCACTGCATTCCTCCTCTTACTCAGGCACCCTGGGCGGCACCAAAACGCTCTCTTAATTTTAGCTGCCCCGAGGCATAAATCAGCCAGAAAACAGACCCAAAGAATCCACAGAGAAAACAGAGCAGGAGCATGGAGGGCACGGTGCCGATTTAACTCTGACACAGCTGAGCAGGGAGCACGACGCCTCTTTCTGAATGGAGCTGTTTCAAACACAACTTTATTGACAAAAGGGAAGAAAAATCCTGCAGGTATGCAACACAGGCTCCTCAGGCTGGTGGGGCCCATGGTGGCCAACTCTTGAGTCTGTTTTGTTAAGGGGGGGTGGCCATGGAGGTAGAAGAGTGGGGTGCTCCACTGATGCTTTCTAACCTTCTCAAATCCCCACCCCTCCCAGCTCTACCTTCTCCGTGGCACCCCCAAGGGTCTGGGTCTAGTTTAGAAAGCTGGGGGCCTCAGAACAGGGGAGCCTTTGTGCAAGGGAGGGTCCCTGCACGGCAATCAAAAGCAGGTCCACGTGCAACAATCTTTCCTCACACGCCATGCAAAATGAGCCACCGAACAGTGTCTTTGGGATGTGTGTGTGTGTGGGGGGGGGGGGGACTTTTAACTCTTCCCCTGCTGTGTGCCACACATGTGGGCTGACCCAGACGGGCAAACAGGCAGCATTTCAGAGAAAACCTCAAAACCACCCCACAGAGAAATCCAGGCATCCCACAGAGCAGCCAGAGAGTGAGAGTGAGCCAGAATGTGTGTGTGTGTGGGGGGGGGGGGGGGGGGCACAGCTGACTTCTCCGTGTTGCGTATTTTTATTTTTTGACACTGTGTCTTCCTGTCTCAGAAAACAAACCCGTCCTGGTAATGTGACAACGCATTGTCATACTGAGGCCTGGCTGGACTCACATCTCCTCATGGTTTTTAAAGCTCCTTCTGTTCAGAGCAGGGGCGATTCTAGGATCTGACCTTTAGGGGTGCTTAGCCCTCAGTGTTGACAGTGGCTCTTGGCTTGAACAGCACAGTGGCTATTAGTGTCAGAAGCATTTGTAAAGTGTGTGTGTGTGGGGGGGGGGGGGGGGGGGGGAGAGACACACACTGATAAAGGGGTCTGGGGTTCTTCTCCTCCAGAAAATGTTCAATAAAGTAGATGCTATTTCCTGCATTCTGGTGCATTTTAATGGGGTTTTAAACATTTACATTAAACTACATAAGTAAACACTTGATTCAGTAACTGTTTAAGAGAGCATGACTCAACAAGAAGTAGCGCTTAGCTAGCGGCACGCAATACAGACACGCTAGCTAAGATGCTACAGACGCAGCGCTCTGCTTTACATTACACAATTTAATAAACACTTTATCCAAGATCAGTTTAGTGTTAACTGATCATAGCAATCAAATACTAAACTCATGCAACCAGACAGTGCAACATAGCTATATTTACATATAAAACACACAAAACAAAGCACAACTAGCTTTAAGCATTAGCCTTTAATTTAAACATTAAGCATACAATGTAATTATGACGGAAAAATGGAGAATTTACTTGCATCTACCTTCTTACAGATGAACATGTGGTACTTCCTGTTTATAACTGTTGTATTCAGCTGATCATGAGGTCAGCCGCTGGGCTTTATCGCTTTTACATTTTTCCTAACTTTGTTTAATTTTAGAAATTGGATAAACTACAGTTTATTCAAGTGTATTCCACCATGCTCAGCGAAATGCTGTCTGAATTAAATGTTCTCCACTGACAAGGTTTAACCATTTTTTTCTGATTTTTCACAAAATCCCTCTGACCGCAAAGTGTTCGTGATGCAAAACCCCAACAATGCTGTCAGAGGGAAAGAGGGTGGAGCTCTGCAGGTAAGGGGCGTTCACTTAGGGACAAATTGTGATTGCTGATTGGTCAGTTGCTGACATACCTGCTGGAATCTAAGGTTTGAGAACAGTTTCCTTACAAAATCCTAATGATGGTTTCTTTATTTTTCAGGGGTGCTGAGTTAAAATTTAGGGCCCCCAAAAAGAGACTAAAATCACCACTGATTGTCTGTTAGATTGCACAGCATATTTTCTTTTCTGTCCTTCATCTCTTTCTAAAAGTTCAACATGTCCATGATGAAGACAGGTATCTGGATGGCTCAGCGTTGTTTTGGAGCCTGTTATTCTGTGAGGAGATTCAGCTTCTTGTGGTCTGAGCTTGGACAACAAACCTGTCACCTAAAACAAGGGCATATTTAACCTTCAATTCCTTGTTAGAAAACCAAACTTCTCTTCTTTTATATCATGCAACAAAAAGTGAGAGATATCTGAAAACTGTGAGAAAGAAAACCTTTTCCACAGCCCTGAAATTGATCTATTTGAGCTTTCTCCTCGCTTCTGAACTCACTATAAAAGGCTATTTTATTAAAATTGTATAACATATTGAAAAACAAATTAAGCCACTTTACTAGTTCCAGAAAAGGCCTGCAGCTAAACCAAGATGGTTATCTAATATTTTCACAGAGTGTGCCTGTTTTTCTGCAGCAGCATCAAACTCCACCCTGCAGGTTTCTCTCTGCTGGGCTCGTTGTGTGCAGGTGTGGAAGGAGGAAAGGGTTTGAATCTAAATTCTGTAAAGAAGACGAACGTATTCTGCTACGACCTCTGGTTTCTGTGCATCAGATAAGCAGGGATCGTTTAATGAATCCAACACTCGATCTCTAAAAAACACAGATAATGGAAAGAATGGCTCCAAAAATCTGTCCTAATAACACATCACTGATCCAATTATATAAAATCATTTCATCCTTTCATAATTTAGTTTTATGTTTGTGACTAGTTCAAACAATAAATTATCTTAGGCCTTAAAGCAAGAATTTAGTCAGTTTGAAATGAGGCTTTGTTTATGGTTAAGGTTATAAATATTAATATTAAATTCTTGTTACAGTAGTCCCTC